TGAGAGTGGATGATGAGGAATATAAAGGAAAAGAAAAAATGATTTCGAATCGATCGTATATAAATGAATTATTTGGCATCGCTTGCTGAAGTCGTTTATGAAAAGTTTGATTTCGGAGAAACTTTAATGACAATTGTATCCCATGCAGCCAGAAATCTGAAATTTATGCGTTAAAACAGTTCTTGTTTCTTTTATTTTATTCAACGCGTTGTGCACATTCAAAAATGTCCAGAAAATCGCGTTTTAACACGGTGCTTTTTCTTTTACTTCAAACGCGTTATAACAGCATTTAGGAAAAAAACCATTTTAACGCGTTATAACTGGTAATTTCGGCCATTTTTGACTATGTACAACGCATTTAAACTAGGGAAGAATAGATATAACCCATATACCTTAATATTGCAAACAATTTTAAAATACAGTATTTACTAATAAATAAGAGATACCAGGTAGCATCGATTCGAAGAAAGTCCGAAGTTAAAGAGCATACAACAGTTGTGTAATTTCATTTCTTTTCAGAGAATAGATTCATGGTCATGGAAATATCAATAATGAAGTGATAGCTTTCAAGCAAATTCTTTTTTGGTTTATTTTATCTTCTAAATAATAAAACAACTTTGCAAGAAAAAGTAACTCAAGTGTTAAGGATCTCATGCATTCTAAATTTAAATTGTCGGATCTTGCTTATTCACTAGGAGATTTTTTTCACTATTTGGAAGATAAAGTAAAATATTAAATTTCGCTAGTAGACTATTGCTCGATTATTTACATTCACATGGCCATGAATGTAATCTCTGAAAAGAAATGAAGGTGCACTACTTTTGTATGGTCTTTAACTTCTGACTTTGTTCGAACCAATGTTACCTGATATCTCTTATTTACTAGTAAATACTGAATTTTAGTATTGTCTGTAATATTGAGGTATGCGAGTTATATCTATTCTTCCCGTGTCTTAGGCACAGTTGTTACGTTTCTGGATCTATTTAAAAAGTTTTTCGAAATTAAATATTGAAGTAGAAAAAACGAAGTGTACGCCACAAAGTATTTTTCTCAATAAGCACTATTCATCTAAATATATAGCATAATGAATCAAATACCTAGTATAGAAGTTTCTTTTTTGCTACTTCAGATATATTTGGTAATGCCTTTTCATATTTAGAAAGTATATATTAATCATTTCGATGGCAAAAATCACTAAGAAATCAAAATATTTCTATCAAAGGGAAGTTAATAAAGAAACAACTGAACATTTTTTTACTATTACTATTACTATCCATATCATGTATTATTCTCATGTTTACTATTTTTTAGTAGCAAGCTTTTTCATGTAGGTTTAACAGATTCATAATCCTGTTGGTTATGAATGTTATTTTTTTTCCTCGAATAATTTGAATTAGATTTTAGTCGGTGAATACTTTTATTGTTGAAATGATATATAATTATTTCAACCAGAATAGGAATCTAACTGAAAAACAATGAAAGAAAATATGTAAATCTTCAGTGACTTTTGTGATCAAAATAATATTTTTGATTTTGAAAAAGAGATTTTTGAACTTATTTGACTGAGTTATTCTTGAGAAGATTAGCGCACGAAAAATAAATTTAAGCAGAGAATCGAGGAAATAAAAAAACGGATCTCAACATGTATTATAGAATATTGAGTTTAGACTCTTTTTTTATAAACTTATATGCTTGGCTATAAATAGAATGAAATATATCGTTTGAATAAGGAACAATAGGTATTACTGAATAGTTATGAGTATTGCTCTTTGTTGTGTAGTAACAACGAAACAAAGATTTCTATGGTACTGGTTAGCGCTATCATCAACAGGATAGGAGAAATAGATAACTTCGTGAAAACCTTTTATTTTGTCCCAGTTAAAACGCGTTGTTACTAGAAAAAATAACAGTAAACGAGTTTAAACAATATATCTTTAGTTGATCCTGATTGATATATAAAAATGCATTAAAACACATCAAATTATTACAATTTGCCTATGAAATGCGTTAAAATCTGTTTATATAAGAATAAACACGTTTTAACGTGTTCAACTGTTCGATTCATCATATCAATGAGTTGTAATGCGTTTTTCTGTCTGCACGGGTTGTGTTACATCGAATTTGAGAAAAAATTGTTTTTTGTCTCATGACAATACAAGATTTTTCTTTGGTAAGATATCTACTCAAGAGTTTGTTGTACGAAGATTGA